CTAGGGAACAGATGGGTGGAGAAACAGAGCAACAAAGATACCATGCTGAGGTGTTGCTTTACACACCTTAGCTTGGATCTGGGCCTTGTAGGTGCCAGCTGTGGATTTCCTTCCCAGCAGGCAACTGCTAGCATGAGGAGACTCACAGACATTATTGAACAATGCAATTGCATCATAATTTGAAAAGATTCAAGTTATATATAGAAAGTGATGACTTTAGGCCGGGCGTGGTGGCTCATGCCTGAAATCCCAGGACTTTGGGAGGCCAAGGTGGGTGGATCACAAGGTCAGGAGTTCGAGACCAGCCTGGCCAACATGGTGAAACCCTGTCTCTACTAAATATAAAAAAATTAGCTGGGCATGGTGGCAAGCGCCTGTAATCCTGGCTACTCAGGAGGCTGAGGGAGGAGAATTGCTTGAACCTAGGAGGCAGAGGTTGCAGTGAGCCAAGATTGTGACACCGTACTCCAGCCTGGGTGACAGAACAAGACTTTGTCTCAAAAAAAAAAAAAAAAAGAAAAAAAGTGATGAATTCAATACCATTTACCCCTTTCTGTTGATTACAAAGTGACCACACAAGGGAATATTTAGGGTCTTGTAGTGGTAGATGCATAACTCTATCCGTTTCTCTTGAACTCCTGGCCTCAAGTAATCCTCCCACCCTGGCCTCCCAACGTGCTGGGATTACCAGCCTGAGCCACTGCACCTGGCCTATCCATTTGTCAAAACCCACAGAACAATACACTGCAAAGAGTTGGCTTTACTGTGTGCAAATTAAAGAGGGACCTTAGGATAGAATGCCCTGTGTGACAAATGAACTAAATTATGTTACAGGCCAGGTGCAGTGGCTCAAGCCTGTAATCCCAGCACTTTGGGAGGCCGAGGGGGGCGATGACAAGGTCAGCAGTTCAAGGGCAGCCTGACCAACGTGGTGAAACCCCATCTCTACTAAAAATACAAAAATTAGCCGGTGGTAGTGGCATGTGCTTATAATCCCAGCTACTCAGGAAGCTGAGGCAGGAGAATTGCTTGAACCCGGGAGATGGAGGTTGCAATGAGCCAAGATTGCATCATTGCACTCCAGCCTGGGCAACAGAGTGAGACTCCATCTCAAAAAATATATATATTACAAAGGTATGGTATAACCTCATCAAAGTGCGTGAGGAAAAAAGAAAATTGATTTGAGTAACTTTGGAAAACCGTTTTGACTGGCTACTATCAGAATAAAAACAAAAAGAACCATGCGTAAACACTACAGTTGGAAAATTTTCTTCCACAGTTAGAAATCCTGAAACTACGTATATTGTTAAACACACACACACACACACACACACACACACACACACACACACACACACACACAGAGAGAGAGAGAGAGAGAGCACAGCACCCAGATCCATATAAGTGCTGGGAGAATTAGGTGCTGTCAATAGACTACTTAGGAATGACAACTGGAACCTTGTGCGTGGTGTCTCATGGACTCTGCTGCCTCTTACCTTTGCTGATTTTCACTGTATCCTTTCACTGTAATAAACTGCAACTATGAGTATAATAACTTTCAGGAGTTCTTCTAGTGAATCATTAAACCAGAGGATAAGCTTGGGGAGTAAAGACTCTCAATTATTAAATACCTGATTTTAGCATTAAATTTACCCCAATCTTAAAATCCAGCTGTAAGACCACATGATTAATTTATTTAAAGGGAAAAAAATCTCAACAAAAATGTTAAATAGAAATCAAGCCTAGGCACAGTGGCTCACACCTATAATCCCAGTACTTTGGGAGGCTAAAGTAGGAAGATCATTTGAGCCCAGGAGTTGGATACCAGCTTGGGCAACACAGACGCTGTCTCTATCAAAAATAAAAAAGTTAGCCAGACATGGTGTTATGCACCTGTGATCCCAGCTACCTAGGAGGCTGAGGTGAGAGGATCACTTGAGTCCAGAAGGTCAAGGCTGCAGTGAGCTGTGATCGCACCACTGCACTCCAGCTTGGGCGAAAGGGCGAGACTCTATCTCAGAAGAAAAAAAAAGGTCAAGTGTTGGACAGATGTCTGAAGGAGCAAACTGCCATGCTCTAGAGAGATCCATGAAACAAGGACCTGAATGTGGCTTGTAGGAACTGAGAATAGTAGCTGGCTGACAGCTATTAAGAATATGGGGCCCTGACTCATAGGAAATGAAATCTAGCAATACCTTCAGGGAGCTTGGAAGTGAATCTTTACTTAGTCAAATCTCTAGATGAGTATGCAGTCAGCAGACACCTTGAGTTCACAAAACTGTGAGCAGAGGATGCAATAAAACATGAAAGACTCCTGACCCATGAACACCGAATATATTTTCATTAATTTAAGTCACTAAGTTTGTGGTAATTTGCCTTGTGACAATAGGAAACAAAAATACGTAATTCATTTTAAACATTTTTTGTAAATTGGAAAATTGTTTTACTGATAAAAAGTACCATTACATATTTATAGCAAAATATCAGAAATCTATATCTATATCTCTATATTTTTTGAGACGGAGTCACCCAGGCTGGAACACATGATCTCAGCTCACTGCAGCCTCTGCCTCCCAGGTTCACGCGATTTTCGTGCCTCATCTTCCCAACAAGCTGTGACCACAGGTGTACACCACCATGCTTGGCTAATTTTCGTATTTTTAGTAGAGATGGGGTTTCACCACATTGGCTAGGCTGGTCTCAAACTCCTGACCTCAAGTGATCCACCCACCTTGGTCTCCCGAAGTGCTGGTATTACAGGCATGAGCCACAGCCCCAGGCCAAAAAAATTTTTTTTGAGACAGAGTCCCACTCTGTCACCCAAGATGGAGTATAGTGGTGTGATATGGGCTTGTAACCGTCTGGTGGGTTCACCTGACCTGCTGCCTAGACAGAACTGATTTTATCAAGACAGGGGAATTGCAATAGAGAAAGGGTAATTCATGCAGAGTCAGCTGTGCAGGAGACCAGAATTTTATTATTACTCAAATTAGTCTCCCTGAGCATTTGGCCAGCAGTTTTTAAGGACAACTTGGTGGGTGGGTGGAAGCCAGTGAGCTAGGAGTGCTGATTGGTCAGAGATGAAATTATAGGGAATCAGAGCTGTTTTCTTGCACTGAATCAGTTCCTGGGTAGGGGCCACAAAATCAGAGGAGCCAGTTTATTGATCTGGGTGGTGCCAGCTAATCCATCAAGTGCCGAGTCTGCAAAATATCTCAAGCACTGATTGTAGAAGCAGTTCAGGGAGGGTGAGAATCATGTTGCCTCCAGCTGCCTGACTCCTAAACCATAATTTCTAATTGTGTGGCTAATGTTAGTCCTACAAAGGCAATCTAGTCCCCAGGCAAGAAGGAGGTCTGCTTTGGGAAAGGGCTATTATAAACTAAATTTCTCCCAAAGTTAGTTCAGCCTATGCCCAGGAATGAACAAGGACAGCTTGGCGGTTAGAAGCAAGATAGAGTTGATTAAGTTAGCTCTCTTTCACTGTCTTAGTAATAATTTTGGCAAGGCAGTTTTAAGCTCACTGCAGCGTGTATCTCTCTGGCTCAAGGAATCTCCCACCTCAGCCCTCTGAATAGCTGGTACCATAGGTTTGTGCCACCACGCCAGGCTAATTTTCTTTATTTTTTTGTAGAGACAGGAATCTCACTGTGTTGCCAAGACGGGTCTCTAACTCCTGATCTCAAGGGATCCACCTGCCTCAGCCTCCCCAAGTGCTGGGATTAGTCACCATGTTCAGGGCCCCACCCCCCCTTTTTTTTTTTTTTTTTTTTTTTTTAGGTCTCCCTCTGTTTCCCAGGCTGGAGTGCAGTGGTGTGATCTCTGACCACTGCCAGCTGTGCCTCCCAGGTTCAAGCGATTCTCCTGCTTCAGCCTCCCAAGTAGCTAGTAACAGGTGTATACCACACCCAGATAATTTTTGTATTTTTAGTAGAGACAGGGTTTCACCATGTTGGCCAGGTTGGTCTTGAACTCCCCATCTCAGGTGATCCACCCACCTTGGCCTCCCAAAGTGTTGGCAATACAGGCATGAGCCACCTTGCCCAGCCTGAAAAACATTCTTTAATGAAGTAACTTTAATTAAAATAATTAATCTTGTTAATAGAAATAATTTTATTTTTTTCTACTATTAATGTCTGTAAAAAGATAAAGTATATTATTGTTTTCTAGTCTGTTTTGTTGTTGTTGTAGAGATGAAGTCTCACTCTGTCGCCCAGGCTGGAGTGCAGTGAAGCTATCTTGGCTCACGGGAACCCCTGACTCCCAGGTTCAAGATATTTTCCTGCCTCAGCCTCCCAAGTAGCTGGGATTACAGGTGTGGACCACCACGACTGATAATTTTTTAGTTGTTTTTTTAAGTAGAGACAGGGTTTCACCACGTTGGCCAGGCTGGTCTTGAACTCCTGACCTCAGGTGATCCACATCACTTGGTCTCCCAAAGTGTTGAGATTACAGGCATGAGCCACTGCGCCCGGCCTCTAGACTTTTTAAATCAGTATTAGATGCACATCTTTCAAAATAAACACAAAAAGCCAGGCTTTTCCAACTGTGTCCTACACATTCTGCAAGATATTAATCATGTTTCAAGAATAAAAAGTGCTGTAAGTACATTTGGGAAACATTGTTATTATATTCTTTTCTTCTTGGAGAATCATAGAAAAACTTGAGAGATTGGTGGCTTGGCGCAAACCAGACTAGAATTGAACTGCAGTCACTACAAAACCCACACGCCTTTGCCCCTCACCACTTGACAGACTCAGCCCACATTCCCCGGAAAAAGAAATCAGACGTAGGGGCTCTCGGAGATGACGTATTTCCCGGGCGCCAAAAAGTCCTGACGCCACAGCTCCAGTCCTGAGGTGGAGGCGGGGCTTGATGTGGGCGTGGCGTCGCAGGAGGCTGCTCAGGCCCAGGACTCGTTCTTGAGGCGGGAGCTGAGACGCGGGGCGGGGCCTCCTGCCCACCGCCGGCCTGTGGGGAGGCGGGGCGGGGCACAGTCTCTTGACCAACCAGCCCACCCCTGACGCCACCGGTAACTGCGAGAGATTGGGTCTGTGCGGTCTGCGAGTCTGTCGGTCCCTGGAGCTGCGGTCCTCTGCTAGCCTGATCCGCAGCTTCAGCCTCCACCGCCTCCACGGCCCTCGGCGCCGCCGCTGGCGCCGCCGCCCGACCCACAGGCCGCCGCGGGCCGCAGAGCCCATGAGGGCGCGGGCACCGCCGCCGCCTCTGCGGCGTCGCCGTCGTCGCAGAGCGCCCCGAGCTGGCGCCGGCATGGCCGCGGCATGAGCGTGGAGCCGCCGCCGGAACCGGAGAAGAAGGCGGCGTCGGAGCCCGAAGCGGGAGCCATGTCGGAGAAGCGCGCGGGCGCGCAGGCCGCTGGCAGCAGCTGGGTGAGTGGGGGCCCGGGGTGGCTGGGTGGGGTCGCACCTGGGGCCCGCGAGCCCAGGGCTCCGGGCGGGGGCTTCGGCTCTGGGAAAGCCGGTCATTTTCTGGAGGAGCCGAATTCATCACGAGTACAGGTTTTCCTAGTGACTGTTCATCCTAGACAAAACTTTACGGGGTTTGGTTATTGTTTCAAAAGGCGCCAGGCACAGGACAGAGAATATAAGAAGTAATTTGGTTGTTTCAGAGTTCTCCATCCCTGTAACAGTTGATAACAGTTTTCCTGGCACAGTTTCTGCCCAGGTCTACTTGGACAACGGTAGGGAGCGTTTTGAATCAGACCATCGGCCGGGAAGTTGGCAGATTCCGGGCAGCGCCCGCGGCTCCTTCCGTGTCCTTCGGGCGTCGGAGGGGCGGTCGCAGCGATGAGGAGCAGAGTTTCAGGGACGTTGCTGGGGAGCGGCTGAGGAGCAAGTTACGCTGGCCTCTTTCTCCAGCTTTACTTTTACTTGAGATCGAGATTGCTTCTGACAGTAGTACAGAAGCAACTGAGCCCTGACTTAATTGGCCTGGTTTTGGCAGAACAGGCCTTGGCAGTGTCAGTGGTTTCATATGGTGGAATATTAAGCCTAGAGGATCTGTGGTTGGTTGAAAGCCTAAGTTTAAAAAGGATTTTTTTTTTTTTTTTTTTTGGTTTTAGGACAGTGAATAGAAACGCAATGGGAAAGTTTTTCCAAAGAAAAATGGAAATTTTATGAAAATTAAATATATGCTCTCGGCTTTAGATTTTTAGCTTACATATCTAATTTTGTTTTTAGTTGAAGAATGCTAAGTGGTTACATGAACGTATTTGGGGGTGTAAATCTCTATTAGTAGGTTGGGAGGGCAGGTAAAGCAGAAGGAATAGTAAATAGAACGGAGCCGGCAAAGCTGGTTTCTAGTCCTGGTTTTGCCTGAACAATGCGCGCTCTGGATAGGGTATTGAAACCTTCAATGCCTAATCTGTAAAATGAGGACTCCCAGCCCAAGTGACTATTTTTGAAAAGCATTTCAAAGTTAAGATCTCTGTAATATGAGAAGCTTATCTTGTCGGGGTAGAGAAATTTTGCAGGATTGCTTTCTCACATTTTGATTTGCGTTAAGTAGACTTGTCCTCTTCCTGTTCCCTACACAAAACTAAAGTACCAGTTCCTCCTTCTGTCTTCCATAAATTGATGGACAGTAATTACTAACCGGTGGCCCAGCTAGTAACCTGCGAGGTAGCTTCCTTCATCTCTTCCCATACTTACAACAACCAGAAAGTCTACCTAAGGTAACTAGATATAGATTTTAGGCTTTTATCCTCTCCTATGCATTCTTAAGCTCATTTCTTAGCATTTTTGACCCAGACTTTGACTGTCTTTTTCAAGACCCTTGCTCACCCCAGCACCAGTCCACCTTCCACATGGCTGAGTAGTGTGTTCTAGCATGTATAGATGATCATTACTGTTGTCCTTAATTTTTTTCATTGGCTCCTTATGGCTTACAGAATAAAAAGTAAATTGGCAGGTTGAAGCATTATTAGCATAGTGATTAGATGAGCATGCTTGGAATTCCAGTTTCCACCTTTAGGTAAGTTAATGTAACGCCTCCTGATTAATAATAATATTTACCTCATAGGGTTGTGAGGGTTGCTGCAACTTGGTAACTAGTAAGCCCTTAATACATATTAATGTTATTATTTTTCAATATTCTTTGCATATATGATTGATCGAAATCTATATGATCTTCTGACTGTGATTAAAGGAGTAGTTGTCTCCCATTTCCTAGTGTAGACAGGAACTACACCCCAAATTAAATTTGCTAAATTTGTGTGCTTAAGAGCAGAAACTTTTGAGGGATGTTTACTCAAGGAAACCTAGACTCGGTTTATTCCCCAATTCTTTCTCCATTGGGTCCTGATGGTAGCCTACTTTTGGGCACAGGTAGGTTTCTTCCTGGTCTTTCCTCTTTGAGAACAAATGGAGTTAATGTTAATAAACTGTGATGAATACTGAGTTTTCTTGGTGTTTGCTGAAGTGAGAAGACTAGCATGAGCAGGTAGCAGTGTTTTTCTGAGTGTGTAGACATTGGGAGAACAGTGAATGCTTTTAATCACATATGTTTGTGTCATATGCTTTTACTCCCAAATTATGCATTTTTTCTGTTTGCAGTTTCTAATGTCACCTCCAGGTGCTGTGTCCTATACCCCCCTATGACTTGATTTTATTTTAATGTGTTGGAATTTCCTTACAGCTTGGTTCCAGTGACACTTATGATTTCAAGTTCTTAGATACTACTAGTAATCACAGGCAAGACTGTCCCCCTGACAACTTTTTGTTGTTGTTGTTTTTGTTTTCTGTTTTTTGTTTTTGAGATAGGGTCTTGCTCTGTCATCCAGCCTGGGATGCAGTGACCGATCATGGGTCACTGCCACCTTAAATTCTTGGGCTCAAGCAGTTCTCTCACCTCAGCCTCCTGAGTAGCTGGAACTACAGATGTGTGCCACCATGCCTCGCTTTTTTTGTTTGTTTGTTTTTAATTTTTTTTATATAGAGATGGAGTCTTGCTTTGTTTCTCAGGCTGGTCTCAAACTTCTGGGCTCAAGTGATCTTCCTGTCTCAGCCTCCCAGAGTGTTGGGATTACAGGTTTGAGCCACTGTTCCTGGCCTGACAACTTTTTTCCACCTTGTTTGGCAAAGACGTATATTGACTAGAAAAAAAGATACTGACAAAGAGATGTAATAATATGAAAAATAAGGAAGAATCCAGTATTTACTCCAAGAGGTCATTTTCTTCTAGAAAAGGGAGGTATGTGTTAGCTGTTGGCATTGCTGTAAAGGAATACCTGAAGCTGGGGAATTTATCGAGAAAAGAGATTCTTAGGCTGGGCGTGGTGGCTCACACCTGTAATCCCAGCACTTTGGGAGGCTGAGGCAGCAGGATTGCCAGAGCCCAGGAGTTTGAGACCAGCCTGGGAAACATAGTGACACCATGTCTTTAAAAAAAATAAAATAAAATAAGTTGCCAAACTAATTATTTTAAAAGTAATTATACAGTTTTACATTGCAACAAGCACTGTTTGATAATTCAAGTTCATCCACATACTTACCAACACCTGGCCAATTTTAGCCCTTCTAATCGGTCTTTAGTGATGTCTCATTGTTCTTTTAATTTGTGCTTCTCTATGGCTAGTGGTATTCAGTATTTTTTTTTTTTTTTTTTTTTTTTTTTTTTTTTTTTTTTTTTTTTTTTTTTTTTT